AAGCCGAGACTCTGTCTCTTAAAAAGCAAAAAGAAAAAAAAAATTTTTTTTGAAATAGATTCTCAATTTGTTGCCCTTGTAGAGTGCTCTGGTGTCATAGCTCACAGCAAATTCAAACTCTTGGGCTCAAGTGTTTGCTCTTGCTTCAGCCTCCTGAGTATCTGGGACTACAGGCGCCTGCCACAATGCCCAGCTATGTTTTGAGGCTGTGTCTCGCTCTGGCTCAGGCTGATCTTCTAGTCCTGAGCTAAAGCATTCCTCCCATCTTGGCGTCCTAGAGTGCTGGGATTACAGGTGTGAGCCAGTGCACTTGGCCCTAGAAATTGTTTTATTTGAGTGATTCTTTGAAGAATAAGTTACAGAGATTTATTTTTATTTCAGATTGACATGAAGGTACCAACAACTGGGTTTCAATGTTTGCATTTTGTTAGGTAGTACAGATTTAGTTTCTTGTGAATTCCACTATCCTAAGGCCATAAGATAGGCAGTGCTTTTAGAGAAGCTGACCTATCAGTGATAGGCATTCCGTATTTCCCGTGATTAGTGTGGCAGTGACTCCTCTTCAATCCATTCTTGTAGGTGTTCTAGGTGACTTCCATTTTCAGGCCCTCAGGATTTACACACAGGAGAAGAAGCTGCTTCATGGCTACTACACGTATGAGGTCACCGTGCAGCCTGCCTGCGGTATGTTTAGGGTAGTCTGGAGCAGGTGCACGGCTGGGAGGCTTCTGCTGTCTGAATGATTAGGTTGATGTTTATCAGCATTCAGATTATATTTACTAAACATAATTACAATGCCCTCCCTCCACCCTCCCCTTTTTTTGGAGACAGAATCTTACTATGTTGCCCTGGATAGAGTGCAGTGGCGTCACAGCTCACAGCAACCTCTAGCTTTTAGGCTTAAGTGATTCTCTTGCCTCTGGCTGGCTATTTTTTTGTTGCAGTTGTCAATGTTGTTTAGCTGGCCCAGGCTGGGCTTGAACTTCCCAACCTTGGTGTATGTGGCTGGTGCCATAACTACTATGCTGTGGGCACCAAGCCCCTCCTGCCCCCCTTTTGAGACTGTCACTCTGTCACCCAGACTAGAGTGCGATGGTGTCATCCTGGCCCACAACAACCTCAAACTCCTGGACTTAAGTGATCCTCTTGCCTCAACCTCCAGAGTAGCTGGGATTACAGGTGCCTACCGCAAGACCTGGCTAATAATGTCCATTTATTTTGTAGCAAAGTATATTTTAGATGCAGTTTTTCACATGACCAACTGTTTCATTTTTGGCTTCCAAAAGAATTTATTAGACAACAGGTGTCTTGCCACACTTTAGAACCTTCCATGACAGGAGGGGACTCAGGTACAGGACAGTGTTCATGCAGAGCCATCATGTGACAGTGGTATTTGGGCGTGAGCTCCTTGGGGAGGTGAACACACCCCTCAACGCACAGGCCCTTCTAGGAAAGGTAACAGGAGCTCATTCTAAAGCCAGTGCTGAGTGAGTATTTGCTCAGAAGTGAAGGGGTGCATTGAAAGCCCTTGCGGCCAGCTGTTTAAATTCTCCTCAGATTATGGAGGAGGTGAAAATGTGCTCTTGTCAAATGTTGAGAATAAGGATGATCTCTTCATTTATTTATCCGTACAAGACACCATTGTTTAGTGGAGTGGTGTTCTAAAGAGAGAAGAGTACCTAATAATAATATTTTTTGATCCTATTAGTCAAAGTAGGAATTATCATTGGGAAGAATTGTCTAGGTGCATTTTCTTAAAATTTGTATTCCTCTGTTGGAAAGCCAGTGCCAACCTTTAAAACTATTCCCAGAGAGCCCTTTAATGTCAGCAGTTTAGCCCGGTTTTCCTTCATAGAGCTTCACTCTTTTAAGCCTGGGTGGAGGAAATAGTTTGTGCAGCAATGGAGAAATCTGGTGTGTAGGACCACAGGAAGTGTGGGGGGGGGGGAGGGGATAGATTGAGGATGAGCGCGGCCTCGCGTTCTGAGCTGTGTTTAAGTTGTGGTAGTGAGTCAGTCGTTTTGCTCTCTAGGGTACGAGGAGATGGCCAGTGAGGACTTGGAGCCTAGTGAAGACCTAGAGCAGCCGGCAGTTGAGACGGTGGAGGACACCGGGAGTGAAGAGGACAGTGAGGTGCTGGAGCTCATCTCCAGCGAGGACCTGGATGTGTCTAGTGAGGATGAGGCCAGCGAGGGCCGCAGCGGGGGCCAGGGCGAGCCCCTCAGTGAGGAGCTGGAACCCATTTCCAGCGAGGACGAGGCCAGCCTTGAGGATGAGGGGGACGAGGGGGAGCTCAGCGAGGAGTGTGAGGAGGAGTGTGAGGAGCTGCTGAGTGAGGAGGAGCACAGTGGGTCGGAGCTGGGCCTGCCGGGCCTGCACCTCCTGCCACAGTCCAGTGTCACAGGGGCTATGGGCTCTGTTTACAAGAAGGCTTACCTTACCTAGAATGCATCTAGAATAAAGAAGTTTCTTTTCCTAGTGCCTTGATGCCATCATTGGTCAGGTGACCGTAGTTACCTTGGAGAGAAGATGCAGGGAACCAGAAAGGGGCGATGTGTTCTGAAGCCCCATGTTAGTGTCTCACCCCGTAGGCCAGAGAGCTCGGAGACCCTAGGAGCAGCGTTTTGTTCTCTCCTTTTCCTTGGGCTGTGGGAGGCTTAGAAAACTGAAACCTGTCATGTTTCCAGTCCTAGAGGCTTAGCCTGCAAGCAGGTGGTGCCACAACCCACCCAGGCCTCTCCCAGCGGTTCTTCCCTGCATTTGGATGGGTTTTCCCTGTGTTTTTATACCACACCACCTCTGTGTGTGTGTGTCCAGATTTCCTTGTCTCTGGTCTCTGTGTGTCATCTAGGCTGGTCTCTGAGCCTATACTCCATGCCAGCGGGCCTAGTCCCAAGTCTCTACTCTTTTTTTTTTTTTT